CAAAGATTAAGGTCAAAGGTCAAAACAAGTCACTGTGATATGTGATACCGTATGACCGTTATGACAACACAGCTGAACGTAAAGTATTTGTTATTTGCAATTGTTTCAGTCTAAAGCTTCACTTCACCATGGTTTTCACACCTATGTTCGACACCTTCTCGTTGAGGAAAACTACGGCCCAAGTACATGTACAAATGTACAAAGTGGTTATGTTTACCTGTACAACTGTTCGAATTTTACATCTATCGTTAATTTGGGTCGTTTACAAAACGCTGAAAATCTTTTATGAACATATAGGAAGAAATACAGGCTTAAAGATAAAGCTTATGTTTGTTGTTAACAATATACACGACGATGGGTGCCTCGGTAGCCGTGATTGCTAACGCGAACAATCATCACCACTGTGGACAATCAAGCGTGAGCTTCAGACCACTCACTCTCCCCAGAATTTCGGTTCGATCACCAGAGGTGGCGGAAAAGAGAGTTATGTCTGACTGGGCTAGTTGTATTGAAAACAACATTTGTTCCCTTAGCGGCGTCGTAATAAAAGTTCTACAACACTTATGTTTGTTGGTGACAATGCACATGGATTAAATAAAGATTAGTTTTGTATTTATTTAAGTCGGTCCAAAATTTACACCAACCACGATTGTTATCGCACAACGTTTGTCCATCGTGTTCACAAATGTGCACAAGCTAATTGGCAAAATTTGTACCGTCCACACATGATGCACACATCGTGCATGTACCGTGCACGCATTATGCATTTACTGTGCGCACATCGTGACACACCGCATATCGTGTTACGTTGTATTGCCTTCCCTGACGTGGGGAAAAGTGTCGGTGTATAATTTTCTACTGGATATAAAAGAACGGCAGTTCAATGATAAGTGAGTGATTTAATACTGGGACACAAGATGAGTTGTTTGTTGTCGTAGTGTTTCAACGACCATTTCCGGATTTCTTTCGAAACGGTACCAAAATTACTTTCAATATGTTGTATATGATGAATGTAGCATAATGACATATATGTTTGTTACGGATTTTTTTTCATTGTGTAAAGGTTTCTATATTTAAGCATCGTAATTGTTGCTGGAATTTGTTTTTTCAAATAAATCTGCATTGTTTATTGTTAATACAATTTGCTTGTGGGCTAAATTATGACATCACAAGTTATGGGTAATTGTGGCGCCATTATGTTCTGTTTTGTGATTGTTTGCAAAAGCAACGCTTGACAAGTCTATGACGAGGTGGGTGCATACGAGTGCCAGTCAAACCTTTCTCTATGTTTAACGGGGCTGTACAGGATTGAAATGTCAATATGTAATAAATACCGATGTGTAACAAAAAAGATTCGTTTATGGCTTTCAACGAAATTTGATCAATGTTCTCCCTGATCATTTGTAGACTCTTAGTCCTAGATGACACATTATATAACCAGCGAAATGCATAATGTTCTCAGCTCGGTGTACATTTAAAATTATTAATGGAACTATGCATTGTGGTGAGACGTGTAGAGGAAAAAATAAACAAATACAATTATGTGCATAAACATTGACTTCAAAATTAGCTTCAAAGATTAGTTTTACTTAACGTGTTTGGCAGTACACAGGTGGGGCCAGGTCTGGTATACAGTGTCTTTGTATCATTGATTATTGACATGTATACCACCTGTATGTTCACCTGTGGATAATTGTTTTATGTCAGATTCGTAGCTGGAAGCTGACAATGCTAAGTATGATATCATATAACAAATTAAGATTTGATCAAACAAAATAACAAAAACATTTGTAGTTTAAGCACATTATCAACATATGTTAAAATACTAATTAAAACGACATACAAAACGTAACCTAATTATTGTATCATTTAAAGATAAGCCTACACTACCAATTAGGAATGTGATATGTGACTGAAGGTGTGGTGTATAATAGTAAAAAGTTAACATTTGGTAATTATAAAAATGAAAAGAAACACATATTCATTTATATATGTTAGAAGTATTTTATAGCTATCTTAAAAATCCATTGACGAAATTCACGTATGAGTTTATTTACCATGCTACTACGTGTATTTCAAAATATCCAAGCTACCATTTCCATCCTTGTACTCATGAAGTAACCAAAATTTGTGTTTACTGCTTTGAGAGTATTGGGTATCACCATTATTAGGAGCACTCCACACAGTCAGACACAAACACACATACACATACACACATTGTTTCGCCCATTACATTAGTAATATTTACATTTAATATGAAAAATAGAGTACATCCTCCCCTGGCGAGGTGAAATTTGTCGATGTATGATTTTTGACTGGATGAAAAGAACGACAATTTCCATATTGAATAAGTCATAAAAACACTGGGACACCAGAGGGTCGTTTGCATTCGTAGTGTCACTACGGATTCGTCTCCATGTTTCATCCGAAACGATACCGCATATACCTGGCGGTTTTCAACGTGTTCTATATTTATATAAGCGAATTAAAGTTTCACAAACTTTCCTTAACGTACATTTCACTAACTAACATGCTGTCTGTAGTTGGTGACAGAATAACTATAGCACTTTTCAAATAGAATTGTAGACCATG